GGCTGCTGTAACCCTGCCAAATGAGCTGACCAGCTCACAGAGACAAGCTGAACAGCATCCCCCTCGCTCCCGCCAGCGGACCAATCTCCCTCCCCCTCCCCAATTTGGGGCATACCTCCGTCAAGGCTGCGAGACATGGTGTACCGTTTGCTGGAGGAGCGCTCGAAGAAGGGAGCCGGGCGGTCGATGAGGGCGCTGGCCTGCCGTGTCTGCGCCTGTGTCCGCCCACTGTAGCGAAACTTGGAGCCCATCACCAGGAAGCCTTTGGGGGGTGGCTCTGGGGACACCAGCCTGGGAGTGAGAGCGGTGGAGGGCTGTCAGTGAGCCCCAGCCGTGCCTCCTGGCACTGCCCGCCACATCTACCCACTGCGGAAGAGGCAGGAGTGTGTCTGCCTCCAAGAAGGTCTGGAGACGGTCTCCTCACCTGAAGAAGGTGTGATGCTCTATGCAGACCTTCCAGAGACGCTTGGCAGAGCGGTGGTTGGGCAGCTTGAAGCCAATGGTGCTTTCAAACTGTTCGTACTTGGGGGAGACAGAGACATGCCGTTACAGGGAGATCCTGCCCTAGAGGATGTGATGGGATGGGACCCGCCTTGCCAAGGCCCTCAGGTTCCCCTGACGGGGGCCACGGCCATGCCAAAAATGTCTTTTTCAATGCAGCACTGGAAAGGTCCATGCCCAGCCCCACTGGGTGATGGAATCACGCTCCTCACACTTTTGGCCTAAGCACCTTCCTCAACTGTAAATGGCTTTTCAGTGCAAGAAAAATTCCCTCAAGAAACAAAAACCTTTTACAGCACGTTTTGGTGAAAGGCCATCACTCTCCATTTTAGATAGATAGTCCTTGCCCTCCTGCCTGCTGGAAAATGTGGGTGGAAATGCATTCTCCCATAAGCGCACGTAAAAGTGAAGAGAGTGAAAATAAAGCTGGAAAACAAATGAAAAAGTCTCCTGATGTTTTTTTTGTGAAGCATGGAAGACACATCAAAAATGGCCCTCAACCCCCCTTCCTGGGTGACCTCCCTATGCCAGCAGGGTCACAGCATATGGCTGGTGGGGAAAGGGGCCTGGGGTGCCCTCAGCCTGCTGAGGTCACTTTGCCAGTGAAAAAATGAGAGCACGATCATGCAAGCCCTTGCTGAAAGCCTCCATATGCCACAGGAGATGTGCTCTCTTGGTCAGCATGGTCATTAACTTGGGAGCCTTGGGGCAGAGGCTGGAGCCAGGCGAGGACCTCCTGGCCAGGCAGCCCCAGTCCAGCAGAGCAGGCACTCTGCTGTGCCCTGGGACTGTGCTGGCCCGTGCCACCCACCTCACCCGGGCGGATCTTGATGTAGAAGTTGCTCCTCTTATAGGAAATTTTGAGGATCTTGGGCCAGGCGAAGCGGTTGATCCTCAGCCGGTCCCTGTAGATGAGGAGGCCATTGGCGCAGACACCCAGCATGATGTCGATGCCCTCTGAGTCCTGGAGGAAAGAGGGACACGAGGGGGACTGCTCAGCTGCCCAGTAAGAACCAGTCTGGCCAGCAGTGCCACACTCCCTTGGGAGCATTTTCCCTAC